AGTCCCTGGACACCCTTATATCCTGGTCACATGACCAACTTGTAGGGAGAAAATTGGCTCTTCGTAAAAATCTGTTCCAAATTGTGTCAAAATTACAGACTTCAGGCTATATATCAAACTTTAAATTGTGTTGATAGATAAATAAATTACACAATTTTTTAAAATGTTTGTTATATTTGAAGCAGAGAGAAGCACCAAGCGGTTAGTCTGTCAGGTGGCATTAATCGTATTAATTGTCAAGTGCCAAAAATTAATTGATTAATGTTTTTCTGACGATTAATTGCACACGATACGATTATGCCCAACCCTAGCTACAGAGCAGGGTTGGTTCAGTAAGTTGTGGAGGTAAGTTAACTCAGGATAATGGATATCTGGCTTCTGAAACCAAAAACCCAGGATCTGCACCAAGTTACCCCAGATCTTACTCAGGATTTAACTTATCCTGCTTTCTGAATGGGACTCAGGTGTTTTCAGTATGCTATAATTCAGGTGTGTTAGTGTCAGTGGCGCCTGCAGAATTTTTTTTCAGCGGGGGCCATGGTGGGGGCCATTGAAAAACCAGGGGTGGCACACCAAAATATCTATAACAGAAATTTTATAACGTGTTTGTAAAAATGACAATTTGAAAACTATGGCAAAATAAAACCTATGGATTTGCCAACAGATGTCCAATTATAATATCACTGATTTTGTGAAGTTCACAGATAAATAAATAAATAAATAAATAAATAAATAAATAAATAAATAAACAAGCCCCCGAACTATCTGCACTTCCACAACAGTCCATTTCTAACTTGTTATGTATCTTTATACATGGAGTTATCCTTACATTATTACATATTTCAGTGACATCAGAAGTGTTTGTAATGTTGGGGGGACCCAGTGCTGGGGGGGTCTGGGGGTCCTCCCCCAGAAAATCTTTAAAAAAGTAAATGTCATTTCCTGCATTCTGGATTATATTAACAAGTTGTTAAACAGACTTTTACCTACATAAGAAAACACTTGTTGTGAGTATTGTATTTGTCAAATGAATAAATTTATTTGTTAAACAAGAGAAACACTGGATGAACTAATATTTTATGGTAAATGCGGTTCAAATTAATTAAATTTTAAAAGTGATGGGAAACTTCACTTCAAAAAACATTGCTGTGATGTCTTTTTATTTAAAAATGTCAAAATATATATTTTAAAGACATTTACAAGGAACAAGCTTTTTAAATTTTAAAGCCAATCACCTCTTCTATGTACGACAAAAGTTTTATTTGCTTGTTGTGAAAAAAACCTGTGATCATAAAACCCCAAAACTGGAAACAAAGACTAAAACAAGCACAATTACAAATTACATCTGCTGTAGTGTTATCCCAAATTATGAAGTTATTTGCTTTTTTATGTCATATTCGTTTTATTAAATATGATTTTGGTCTGTGAGAGGTGAGAAAACCCACCCATGCACAGAGAGAACATGTAAACACAACCCAGAAAGTTTATCTAGCAACCTTCTTCCTTAGAGGCTATTGAAATATGGAACACTTTTAACTATATTTTGTGTTCTGTTAATAATCAGTTCCTCATGTGTTCAAAGTTTTAAAATAAGTAATTTTACAGAATTGATCAATGTAATGAACTGTTTACTTTCACTGTGTGTGTGCCACTCTGGTCAAAAACATGTTTGGTGATCGGGGTCAGGGTCCAGTTTCCTCGCCCACTTACTGTGCAAATATGTGTCAGGCTGACATCCGAA